CTTTAAAATCATATTCCACTTGGAGATATAAAAGACGTATAGAGGCCAGGCGGCACTGTTTGTTCTGTAGGGTGTCCGGTAAAGATAACAAGAACGCTCCCTCCCATGAAGAGCGAAAAGCGCTCATTTGAATATATTATACAGGTGTCCTGCTTTCTTGTTGAGAAAAAAAAAAAATCCAAGCAATAATAAGCTGAAGGGCAGAAGGTACATCCTTGATCTGTCTTCTCTGTCCTGACTTAACAGTTTAATTTATTTTTAAACAGTTATTTCAAACGACTGTAAACAAAATGCAACTTCTGTGGAGTTTGAAGCTGATAATTATGTTTCTTTCTATTTAGATGCAAAACAGTTCATTACAGCTATAATGAATTTGCGAGCCCTATTTGCATCTGATGAAAAAAAAATATGAGGCCATTTTAGGTAATTTCAACAATATCGCCCGCATCTGCTTTCAGTCTGATATCAAAAGTTTAAGTTCCTCAGTGCGTATACTTGAGAATAGTTTGCACCGCACTGATGGTTTGCTTATAATTACAAAACTAAATCAGGCCATACCTGCAGGGACGCTTGGCTTGGTTAGACAGCTGTCTAACGCTCAAAAAAAGGCAGATCACTGGAGCTTTATGCACAAACTGAACACATTTAGCTGAAGTCTAAGAGGCACTTTGAAACTGAATATCTAAAATAAAGGAGAACTCAAATAGTTGCACTGGGTTTGTGTACTACAACTACAGGTAAAGAGATTTCATTTCAAATAAATCGTGGCTGTCTAAGAAAAACTTTGTTGGAGATCTGATAGTTTTGTAGTTGACAGTCTATAGTTACATCAGCAGACAGCATTGATTCCTATTCCTCCAACTGTCTTTGTAGTTTTTAAAGTCCATACCATGTGGAGATGCAACACAGGATGCAATATAAGAAATAACTGTAAGGTAAAGTGTAAATGTCAAGTTTTCTCCTCCGTGATCCAAAGAAAGGGTTGTTGTTGTTGTTACAGGATAAACTCACCATGTACACACAACTACCTTGTCTATTAAAGGGACCTAATTCTGTACAAACACACTTGAGAATTGTCACCTGTACCAGCGGTCTGGCCTGCGCTACATCTGCATGAGAACAATCTGTGTTATGTGTGTCTTTAAGTGAAAGTCAAAATTTTCAATGTAGTCCCTTTTTTTGAACCATTATATAATGAGCATGATTGCGGTTATGTTCTTGAATGTGCATAGACAGCAGTAAGTTCCCATCTCTCCTTGTTCATAGAAATTTGAGGTACTAATGTACAAAATGAGAATGTGTTTTGAGGAAAATAACCTCATCATTCCAGCTGACATTTTAAGGAAGGGCTAAATAGTCCATAAATTTAAACATATTGTCATAAATGCCAGAATATGGCAGAAAAGGGAAGAAAAGTTCACATTGTAAATGTGCCACTGTGAATAATGAAATATCCGGCAGAATATGGGCAAGAAGGAGATAAAGATATGGGGAAAAGATGAGAGAGAGAGAGAGAGAGAGAGATTCGACTGTAAACAGTGGAAGGCAAAATAAGGAAGGTAGAGTGAGAAAGAGAGAGAGTGAATGAGAAAATCTAATAAAAGCACTGCTGCATTTGGCTACAATTTATGCCGTAATGTGGGAAAGGGACGGTAGGTTATGATCAGGTACAGAACGAACCGCTATGGTTTTATTGGGTTGCATTATAGCATACCACAACCCTGATCTCAGCCCCTGTAGGCTTATGTTTGGAATATACATGTACATATTAAATGCTTGCTTTTTTATCATGTAATGAAAGCAAGTGTGCTGCAGATCAGATTCATAAAGCGATAAAGCATCTGTGCAGATGTAAGAATCATCTGAATACAATAACTGTAAAATGAAATGCTATTGAGCTCATTCAGTCAAGGAACGCAAAGCCTTTATAACTAAATGACCAAACTGAATCATTTGTTTTTAATAAGAATATTGATATCATTTATCAGATAATGGCGGAACATACCTAAAAAATTATGTGCCAGTGAATAACAAAAAAAAGCAAAATACTGTAATAAAATTTTTAAAATGAATAACTAATTTTTAAAGGGTACCTATTATGCAAAATTCACATTTACATGGTGTAACATAAATGCGTGTCGGCAGTATGTGTACACAACCACCCTATAATGGTAAAATTCCACCCACTCCATTTTAATCCCCATAAATCATAAGCAGTGTCTCAGAATAAGCTGTTTGTTTCTATGCAATGTGATGTCAACGGGTTTGAAGGTCCAAATTGCAGTTTCAATGCAGCTTCAAAGGGCTCTACACGATTCCAGCCGAGGAATAAGGGTCTTATCTAGCGAAACGATAAGTCATTTAAAAAAATAAATTAAAAAAATGTGTATTTACTTTTTAACCACAAATGCTCGTCTTGCACTAGCTCTGCGATGCACATCCACGACTTCACGCATTACGTAGTCACGTTGGAAAGGTCACGCGTGACGTAGACCCAGTGTTTACAAAGCGAAAAACTCCATCTCATTTTCTCCTCCAACTTCAAAATCGTCCGACATTGTTGTTTTACCTTTTTTTGTAAAGGTCGTTTGACTTAGTCTTTGCACGTTCGCTTTGTAAACACTGGGTCGGTACTTCCGCCTACGTCATGCGTGACCTTTTCAACGTGACTACAGAATGCATGAAGTCGTGGACGCGCATGAGTGAGTATATTATCAGGAAAACTAGAAGAAATTGTTGCGCTCTAAATTGACAAAAAATCTTTTTTCTTCAGGTGCGTAGAGTCACAGGACTATGGAAAACGAGCAAGGTGGCTGGCGCACACTGGATTCAGTACAGACTACAGAAGTCTAATGCTTCGTTTTTGCATCGTTCAAAAAGTGCAAATCGAAAGTGAATTAAAAACAATTGAACTGGTGCACTGAAGATAGCAATGTGATGAAATGTTTCATCCTGCTCACTTGAGTAAATTATCAGGAAATTTTAATTCTGAAGTAAACTCATCCTTTTAAGCATTCAAGAAAAAAATTGTTCTTATAAAAGCTACTTAAATTATTCAATCAAGAGCAGTGAGTGATTTTGTTTTTCTTTTGTTGTTTGATTCATATAATAATTCATTACATTTATATAGCGCTTTTCTAGGCACTCAAAGCGCTTCACATGGAAGGGGGAATCTCCTCAACCACCACCAATGTGCAGCATCCACTTGGATGATGCGACGGCAGCCATATTGCGCCAGAACGCTCACCACACACCAGCTTACTGGTGGAGAGGAGACAGAGTGATGAAGCCAATCAGTGTGTATATATATATATATAGGGATGATTAGGAGGCCACGATGGACAGAGGCCACTGGGCAAATTTGGCCAGGATGCCGGGGTTACACCCCTACTCTTTCGAAAGACATCCTGGGATTTTTAATGACCACAGAGAGTCAGGACCTCGGTTTAACGTCTCATCTGAAGGACGGTGCTCTTTGACAGTATAGTGTCCCCATCACTATACTGGGGCGTTAGGACCCACACAGACCACAGGGTGAGCACCCCCTGCTGGCCTCACTAACACCTCTTCCAGCAGCAACCTGGTTTTCTCAGAAGGTCTCCCATCCAGGTACTAACCAGGCTCAGCCCTGCTTAGCTTCAGTGGGCAACCAGTCTTGGGCTACAGGGTGATATGGCTGCTGACAGACAGGGTGATATGGCTGCTGACAGTACCTACTGCTATATATGCTGTTAATATTACACTGCTTCCACTGTAATACACAGATATAATAAACACATGTGATTTCTTTACTTGCTGTTTACGTTCACAGACATAACCTTGTGTGCATTTGACAGTTTAAGTGTAATAAGACGTGAAAGAGAACTTACGTAGTTTAAAGGGATAGTTCGCCAAAAAATTTACATTTTGTCCTTACTCATCCTCTAGTTGTTCCAAACCAGTATGAGTTTATTTCTTCTGTTGAACACAAAAGAAGATTTTAAAGGATAAAGAAGACAGTTGGTAACCAGACAGTTGACACCACCCATTGACTTCCAAAGTAGGAAAAAAATACTATGAAAGTCAATGGGTGCCGTCTGGTTTACTGTCACTCATTTATCATTATTATTAGTTTTATATAACCAACATCACATTAGCAAACAACATGATTATGCACTGCCAGACCACCCTGTTAATTGTAATGCAATGTTGTGACACTGGTCATTGTAGGCTTTTCTTCTGCTGACAGAACACATGCATAGACAAAATGACAGGGAAGAGAAGAAGAAAAACGGAGCTTAAACTGAGCTTATCTGACAGTTTAAGCCAATGCTAATGTTATCTCTGTGATTTAGTCTTGTGTGTGGGAGCCTATGGGCTCAGCGCTCGCAGGATCATTGCACATTATAATGCCCTGTGACACCAATGGAGCTCTTTCTGCATGGCCTTACAATGAAAAAAGTCAGGGGGATAGGGGTTCGTCTCCTCAGAGCTGCGCAAATGTCTTCATTTCTCTCCATTTTTGAGGGATGCTAATGTCTTTTTAAGTGGCCCAAATGCATTTCTAGAGAACTCGAATTCGATAATTCTGCTAATATTTCACTGTTTACAGCTTGTACAACATTTTGCAATGGAAGGTGTTGGGAAATTCTGTTAAGAATTATGAGTTTTTCATCTAAACTGTCTGTGCTGAAGACAGATTAGCTTGTCCTTATTTCAAGTAGTGATCAATCAACAGTGCACAATGATTGTCAAAAGTTTTAATAAAACCTCACTTTGTGTTGCTGCTATATAGTTTGGTGATATGTTGTGAGTCAAGTGATTAACGTTTTTGTCTCTGCTGTTTTTTCCCCAACAACACCCACAATGAGTCGCTCGATAACTCATGCATTCATATCATGAGCCATTTCATGTCCTCTTATTGAAGCTCATAACAGCTCGATATAGTTTATTCACCTTCTCCAAGGTTTCACAGTAATAATAACCATAATAACATTTCTTGCTCTCCTTCTGTTTTTCAGATGAGTTCAAGGCCTTTCTCAAGAAATTGCCAACAGATCATTTTTTAAACACCTCTGCCGTCTTAAAGTTCTGGACGTCAGATCTGGTGCTGCAGAGACGTTATGGTCTGCTGGAGGCGAGCACTAAAGTGGTGCTGGGAAAAGCCATCAAGATAGTGCGCAAACTCTTCGCTCTCAGCAAGCGCTGTCCTACACAGCCAAAGATCAGCCTGCCTAGAGAAAGGTACAAGGCCATATGATCTTTTGTTGTTGTTGTTTTTGCAAATCATGTAAGGGAGCATGTGCATTGTGGGTTTTAGAAAGCATCAATTAAACGGATAGCTCATCCAAAAACTGAAACTTCTTTCATCATTTTCTCACCCTCGTGTCAGTTCAACCTTCTATGACTTTCTCTCTTTCTTCAGTGGAACATAAAATAGGATATTTAAAAAAAAATGTCAAAACAATGAAAGTACAGTGTTGTTTTTTGACCCCATTGACTTTCATTTTTTATGGACAAAAACATTTCTTCATAACATTCCTCAAAATAACGTCTTCCATGGTCCATAGAAGAAAGAAACAACAAGTTTGGAACAACATGAGGGTGAGCAAATGATAACAGTTTATTTTATTTTATTTTTTTTATTTAATGATACAGGTTTTTTTTAGCTTACTTTAGCATTCAAACATTTGTCTTTGTGGTTCTGTGTCTATAAGACAGTTGGCTGTTTCACTCTCAGTATATACAACATTGTGTGGTTTATTTAGACTAGGGCTTAGAGGCATTGAAGCTGCACTATTGTGTGGTTCACAGGACAATCATTTTTGATTATGGAAAGAAAAAGTTGCTGGATATTTGAATTTTTGGGAAAAACAAAGAGATGAGAAATAAGGCTGGATGATATTAAAGTGAGTGAACGTTGTGCCTCGTGGTGCCTGCATAGAGTGAACATTTCTGAAGAGTGGTCAGCCGTGCGCACACTATAATCAAGAGCTCCATGCGAGGGACAGGTTGTAGTTAGCATTCTTCAGCTTGAAGACTTTCACTCCATTTAGACGGCTTCCACCTGCGTCTGCTTGTACATGTAACACTGCACAAGGAAAAACACACTAGAATTAACCCAAACCGAGAGTGGAATCATTTTTGTTGCTTCATTAGTTTCATAAACAAAAGTTTTATTACCCTAGAATGCGATTTTTGGAGGTGTTTTTCAATTTAAAAAATGGCTTGATATTACATGTGTTTCTTATAAATCTTGAATGTGAGTCTCTGTAATGTCATGTACATATTTGTTGGTCGTACGTTCAGAAAAAAAAAACTTTTAAAAAGACAAAAGCCAATCTTTATTCTATTCTATTCTAATTCTATTCTTTTTATCAAAAAAGTGATTTCATCACTTAATAAATACAATACTAGTCAAAAGTCTGTTTCATGAAAATGATGTCATTACTCTGAAAAAGATCAAATCAGGATGTCTTTTCTTAAAAAAAAAAAAACTAAAACCAGGTCATTTTGATCACCTGTGCACATTTTGATCCCCTTTGCATTCGGTAGGTTAGTTAAGCATGAAGTCGAGGGTTAATTTCATGACAAACAGTGGAGCTATGTAAGTTTGATGTTCCCCAAAAAAGTTTAAGAACTTCATCGCTATGTCTGGCCAAGTCTGAGATGGCCACAATTAGTAATTTCAGAAATGCAGTTCTATTTGTTTTATGATATTTTCAGTTTATTTGAATGGTAAAAAAATATATATATATTTTAACATACAACTGATTTCAGAGAGATTTCTCATCAAAATAGAATATTCAACCACTTAATTATTGAACCAAGCTGAACCAAGATGCAGTTCTCTGAGTCAACATGAATATATGAGCACTGCTCAGTGGTTTATTTACCACCTGAATTGCATCTTGACATCAATTGCTCTCATGAAAAAGAAGAACATGTTACATTAGTGGATTTATAAGATCATTAATGAACTCGAGAGTCCAGGACAAAAGGAAGGCCAGATGAAATGAAATCCCACAGGGAGGCAGCCAACAGAAAGGACATGTGATGTGAGAAATTTTGTTTCTCTATGCATGCCATTAAGTATGCGTCAACAGTTGTGAAGTGAGTTGCACTTAATAATGGAGAGCATTTATTTAAGCGAATTGTCTCTCACTAAATTGGATAAAAGAGAATGAAAAGAATGTGCCATCTCCTCACACACATCCCCAAAGGCTTTTAAGACTCACTTCCTCTACTAGTTAAGAACAATTTGCATTTGTCAAAGAACAGGCCATCAGCACTCGATTAATAATCGTATCAATCAGCAAGAGGAAATGAATGCCTCATTTACCACAAAGAAAATAAGGCTGATGTCAAGTTCTGACTGAACAATTTTAGCATGTTAGCTGAACAATTTTTCATGGCGACGAAGCCCAGAAATCTTTCGATTTTATCTTCATTTAGTAAATCCTAGCCTGTAATTTTTTCAGGAACTAATCTTGTCGGTAATTATTACCTTCTCTCTTGCAGAACTCTGGGTTTTTGGCTCAACAAAGCCCAGTCTCTGTTGTATTGCAGCGAGCATGGTGTGCACGGCACCTTCTCTGAGGAACTGCAGGGCTGCATCTGTGCCGCAGAGCAACGCGCTGTCTGCCAGGGCTCCGTGCCATGTAGGGTGGGTGAGGGGACCCTCTGCTTGTCCTGCGCCCCGGACAACATCACCCGCTGTGGCACATGCCTCCCAGGCAGCATCCTCCATATGGGCTTCTGCCGCCCCAACATCGCCAACTCTTTAGACCACTACATCAACTTTGACTTTGACATGCCAGACGCAGAGATGCGTTACCTTCTCCAAAGGCTCGATAGCCGCATGGAGGTCCATGCCATCTACATAAGCAACGACGTGCGCCTGGGCAGCTGGTTCAACCCGGCGTGGAGGAAGCGCATGCTGCTCACCCTCAAGAGCAACAAGAACAAGTCCAACCTCATCCACATGCTGATGGGGATCTCTTTCCAGATCTGTTCCACCAAGAACAGCACGCTGGAACCCGTGCCTGCTATCTATGTCAACCCCTTCGGGGGCAGCCACTCCGAGAGCTGGTTTATGCCCGTCAACCAGCAGGACTTCCCAGACTGGGAAAGAACTAAATTGGATGCCTCACTCCAGTGCTATAACTGGACCCTCGCTCTTGGCAGCAAGTGGAAGTCCTTCTTCGAAACAGTGCACATTTACCTGCGCAGTCGCATCATCACTGACGATCCTGCCGTCAATGAGACGCTTTTTTACGAGCCGCTGGACCTGGATGACCACTCGGCCAACCTGGGCTACATGAAAATCAACAGTCTGAAGGTCTTTGGCTACAGCATGCACTTTGATCCAGAGGGGATCAAGGACCTGATCCTGCAGTTGGACTACCCGTACACGCAAGGATCCCAGGATGCGGCCTTCCTAATGCTTCTGGAGATGAGGGACCGCATCAACCGGCTCTCTCCGCCGGGAGCCCAGCAGCTGGACCTCTTCTCCTGCCTGCTGAGGCACAGGCTCAAGCTTTCGTCCAGCGAGGTGGTGCGAATACGGGAAGCACTCCAGAGTTTTAACACCAAGCTCCCCAACTCCACAGAGCCAGAACTCAGCCAGCTGTGCAGTTAGTTCAAATGAGCCTCTGTTGTTCATTTGTGCCTGCCAGTGAGAATGTATTTGTAAATGTGAAAGAGAGAAAAAGAGAGCAAGGGAAAATAAATTTATTGTCAGTGTACGTGTAAATGTTTGTGGATGAGATTTTCTTTGAACCCTCTTCCTTTGGGCAGCAATTGTAAGAAGCAGAATTTTTGATTGTAACCGATACCATGCGGTAGTATACCACCGATAGTATACCATGCGGAAGCCGTACGTTGCCAGAATATTCCCTTGCTGGGAAAACCTTGTTGGATCTAGCCTACAGTCAAACCCACATAGTGTCTTTGAGTAAGGGTTCCTTTTGAGACTATGTGGGGTTTTCCTAAGTGGACTGCCTATGAACCTTGAAAAAGAACATTTTAAGTCAGAATATATATCTACGGTTTCTTAGCAGGTATGTGCGGGTGCTGTAGTTATCCTTGGTGATGTCATTGTTCGAGATGGAGAATCAACAATAAGAAGTCTATTCTGATGTAAAGTATCGGAGCACAGTGGTCCAACAGTTATAACAATCAGCAAAGATTCAAATTCGTGCTTTTCTATTCTATCTGGAGTTACAAATCCTGTATTGTGAGATCTGTATATCTGTATTTAATGTGGGACTGAATTGCCAGAATGTTGGATATAAATTCCTTTGTATTCAGAGATATGGCTAAACCAAAAGGTAAACATGAAAGCAAACTGAATGGCTAAATTTCATTACAGGTTTTTTAATGTTTATTGAAATCTCTTTTGAGAAGGCAACCTTAAAGTTATGGTACACGCTTACAATATTGTTTTGAAAAGGTTTGTTGGCCGCTTTGTAAATACTGCTCATCTCATTCAAAACATGAAAAGCTTCACATTTGCTTCTTGGATATATACTGATAAACACCCGTATTTGTACTTTTTGAAAGTGCAAAGACCAAAAAAAAAAAAAAACCACACACTTTACCACAAAACAATTGCCTTATGAAGTGAAGTCTCTGTTCTGATATCAAAGCACACTTGGCTGTATGTCTCTCGCTTTAAGAAAAAAGCAAGAAACACTTTTTTTCTTTTTCTTTTTTCCTCTGTAAATGTCCATTTTTAATTGAAGTATTATATGAGGAGTGCATTACGTGTCATCTATGTGCAAATACAGAGTTACATTTACATCACCTGATTCAATAGCTTTGTTTTACTACATTTCCCTGCTTTTCTATTAGACATATGATGATGTGACGAGGCGTAACTGTAATACATGAATTCGTTTTAGTATACCTCTACATCTAGAGGCAATTATTTCCACTCAGCATTGAATAACTGTACATGTACTGCTTAAGTGTTCTTGATTAAGTTGCTTGGGTTGTAGCATTTGTCAACACGAAGAGCCACAGAATTACAGCCTTTGACAACACAGAGCATTTATTACTGCTTTTTATATAAAACGGGAATGTGTGGAAATGTCTGAAAATTGCATATATGCATCAACATAAAAAAGATCAGTTTTCTGTCAAGGTAAGATGGATCGCTCAATATATGAGGAGCAACTTTTACAGTGCGCGGTAAAAAAAAACTGAATAAAAAAGTGCAATTTATGCTGTTGTCATGGAGAGCTGTAGGACCTTCACATAGTCTTTCACGATATATATATGTGACTCAACTGCAAAGGGGGAAAACATTCTCACTAAATTCAGAAGATGGAAATCACAGGGAGTCTGTAAATATGAGTTGTTTATCTTAATGTCTAAGACAGGAATCAGTTTTCACCCTTCAACAAATTGTCAAGACAGTGAAGGGCGTCTAATCAATCACAACAGCCCTATGTAAACTGGCATAGCCTCCCTCTTGAGAAGGCATAAACTATCTGAATATTTCTGTATTTCATGATTTATTATGACTAAACTGCCTGAATTTACAATGTTTTTTTGAGACACACTTTATAATAACTTTTATGAATTAAGTCATAAATAAAATATTTACATACTTTACACTACTGTTCAAAAGTGTGGGGTTGGTAAGATTTGTTTTATGTTTTTGAAAGTCTCTTTTGCTCACGAAGGCTGCATTTATTTGGTCAAAAATACAGGGAAAAAATATTATAACAATTTAAAATAAATAACTTTTCTGTTGTTTTCTTGTTTGTTTTTTTAAATGTAATTTATTTATGTGATGGCAAGGCTGAATTTTTCATTGTCATTACCCCAGTCTTCGGTGTCACATGATCCTTCAGAAATCATTTTAATATGCTGATTTGAAAAAAAAATATTATTATCAATGTTGAAAAAGTTGTGCTGCTTAATATTTTGTGGAAACCGTGATACTTTTTTTCAGGATTCAACAGCATTTATTTGAAATGTAACATTGTAAATATCTTTACTGTCACTATCAAATTAATGTGTACTTGCTGAATAAAGCTATTCATTTTTTTTTTTTTTTAAACTGTTACTGACCCCAAACTTCTGAACTGTAGCGTATATATATATATAAAGTTATAAATATTAAATTAATATGTACAATAATCAGTATTAACTATTGATCTTTGAAGCATATGATGTACTGCTTAAAAAGTTATTAAATAGTGTCACCTTTTTATCTCATGGATTTGTGAGATATATAAATCTTGGGTTAATATCTCACTGTTTTGTACTTGGAGTTTAGAGATTGAAGTTTTTTTGATCCTACAATCTAATATATTTCTGATTAAAATAGCCTAAGCTGTCATGGTCTCATTCTTGTTTATTACGCACAGTTGACTGAGAAAGCTATTATATTTTTCTGTGCAAAGGCATGAGATGAAAATAATTTACCGTGGCTCTGACCATCTACTGAATGTGTTGTAATACACTCATTTCAAAGTGAACGTACCTATATGTCTAACCCAGCCACCTTTTGGATTCCAGTTTTTACTATTTGTTTTCCTTTAGCAAATTTGATGTTAACATGCACATTCCCATCAACACAGGCCAGACATGTTTAAGATTCTTTACTGTAACAGTTACAAGCAGCCTTGTTTTTTTTTTTTTTTTTTTTTTTTTTTTTTTTTTTTGCTTCTCAGATACAAACGATTCAGCTTTTCTAGAAACATGTAAAATGTGACCTACTTTCAGGCTTTCTCTGCACGCCGTTTCAAAAATAAAATGGGAGGCTTTTCAGAAAAACGTTTGAAAACAAGTTCTCATTAGCATTCTTTGAAGAAAATATCAACAGTAATGCTGCAGGAAAGAGGCAAAAAACAATTATTTGTAGTGAAATCATCGCATTAATTAATTTCACCCTGTAGTTATTTACTTAGCATGCTCTGAAACAAAATGGCATGTTGTCAAGCGAATACAACTCCTGGAGTTTGAGGTATCCGTTGGCGTCATACTAGTCGCTGAGTCAACTTAAAACACATCTGAATGCTATTTCAGGACATTTAATTTCTTGATTCTGTTTGCAATCAATTTACCCCATCCCATCTTTAAACTACAATTCTGTGCTGCAGGTATAGTCAGACAGCTTTACCATGCTGTAAACATCAAGTGACTGAATTTGTATCTCGGCCATTTCATAAAAAGTGGTGATGAATTTATTATGCCTGTACATCCAGCAATTCATGAATAATGTTCAAATAAGATTTAATCTCAGAGGGGTCAGTGCAGAGTCCTGCCTTCAGCCTCCATGCATTGCCATAGTGGGATGTTTATTTGTTTGTTTGTCTGTTTGTTTTTTGAGAGGTATCAATGTCCAGAACCAAAGTGCTGAATGTAAATAGTTTGACTGCATCCATTTCTATGTGAGACAATATAGCTCAGTTATAAATGTGTGATGCCAGCATGAAATATTGCAGAGAGGATTCTATATGTGGCAAATGATTCTCTACAGAGTCAGATATGGGTGGTGTGGCCGTGAAATTAAACAATCTTTATACTCTTAAGATCATTTCTCTCTCTCTCTCTCTCTCTCTCTCTCTCTCTCTCTCTCTCTCTCTCTCTCTCTCTCTCTCTCTCTCTCTCTCTCTCTCTCTCTCTCTCTCTCTCTCTCTCTCTCTCTCTCTCTCTCTCTCTCTCTCTCTCTCTCTCAATGTTTTAACAAGATGTAAATGTTCTTATATGGATTAATAAAAGAAAGAAGCAATCCTTTCCCCGCATGGAGTCCCTAAATAAATGCTTTACTGGGTAAGTGCCATATCCTTTCTGCCATGAAGAGCTGTTATTCAGCAACAGACGACCATTAAAAGGTTGAATTTAGCCTGCACGGTGCATTGTTTTCCATGGCACCAATCATTTACTTTTATAGAGATGTTCAATTTGTAGGCCAATTTTTAATAGGTTTTTAGAACCGCAGTTTTATTTTAAGTAAATGTCTGTGGTTTAGAGGGTTGTCCCTTATTCAGAATTGAATTCAGAATGCCTTTAAAACTCTAATTCCCGAGTTTGATTTTCAATGGAATGCAGCTCTATTATGCAACATATAGGCCCTCTGGAAAAACGTGCCTTTTATTCCATTTTTGCAAAACTCCAAAAAACCTATATTCACTGCAGATCCCAGCTGAAATGACTACTGTTGGCAGTAAAACATCAACAACTTGTATTCCTTTTCAGACAAAGATTACAGGGTCATTATAATAGATTTTCACACAGTTCCTTTCACAATAGTACTGTTATGACCTCACAACACTTTTACCATGATTTGTAAACTAATTCATGTTGGCATCACATAACTAGCTCCATAATATGCCTTTTCTGGTGTAATAAACTTGCTTGTTAGCTCGCCTGGTACTACATTGCACTTGCAATGTCCAGCGCTCAGGTATCCTGTGAAACACAAAAGAGCTCAAAGACTTATAGAAGCTAGCTAAAATGGCGTGGTTACTTCAGCAAATGCATTTTTCTCTCAATTTTGCTTTTGTTAATGCTATTGGTTAGGTTTAGGTTAGGGAGCAGTGTATGCCAGGGGTGTACAATCCTGCTCCTGGAGGGCCACTGTCCTGTAGAGTTCAGCTCCAACCCCGATTAAACATACCTGAACCAGCTAATTAAGGGCTGCAGTCGAAATATTATAGTAGGTAAGTCAAGTCACCTTCATTTATATAGCGCTTTTATCAAATTGTTTTGTTATTGTTTCAAAGCAGCTTTACAGTGATAATAGGAAATTAAAGTAACAGATATTGTTTTGGCTTAACAGCAGCTCTAGAATAAAGTTATTGTCCAGCTAAAG